CTCCACATCCTTACAAACACTTTGTTTTTTTTATAGTAGCCATTCCAGTGAGTGTGGGGTGATAGCTCATTATGGTTTTGATTTGCATTTCTCTGATGATTAGTGATGTTGAGTATATTTTTATATGCTTATTGGTTATTTGTATATCATTTTTGGAGAAATATCTATTCAAGTCCTTTGTTCACTTTTTAATAGGATTTGATTTTTTGTTGTTGAGTTGTAGGAATCTATATATATTTTGGATATTAACCTCTTATCAGATATATGATTTTTAAGTATTTTCTCCCATTCTGTACATTGCCTTTTCTCTCTGTTGATTCTGTCCTCTGATGCACCAAAGTTAAATTTGATGTAGTTCCATTTGTCTATTTTGTTTTTGTTGCCTGTACTTTGATGTTATATCCAAAAAATCATTGCCAAGTCCAGTGTCTTGAAATTTTTCCCCTTTGTTTTCTTCTAGGAGCTTTATATTTTTGAGTTTTACATTTAGGTCTTCAATCCATTTTGAATTAATTTTTTATATGGTGTAAGATAAGAGCGCAACTTTATTCTTTTGCATATAGATATCCAGTTTTCCCAGCACCATTTATTGAAAAGACTGTCCTTTTTCCATTGTGTGGTCTTGGTATCCTTGTTGAACATCATTTGACCATATATGTAAGGGTTTATTTCTGAGCTTTCTACTTTATTGCATTACGTATATGTCTATCTTTATGCCAGTACCACACTGTTTTGATTACTGTAGCTTTAAGTATGAGACTTCCAACTTTGCTCTTTTTCAAAACTGTTTTGGCTCTTTAAGGTCCCTTGAGATTACAATTGAAGGATAAATTTTTCTATCTCTGCAAAAAATGCCATTGTGATTTTGATAGGATTATATTGAATCTGTAGATTGCTTTGGTTAGTTGTACATCTTAACATTATTAAGTCTTCTAATCCATGAACTTGGGATCTTTCCGTATATTGTGTCTGCTTTAATTTCTCTTTAGCAGCATTTTATAGGATCCAGTGTATGAGTCTTTCATTCTTGGTTAGGTTTATTCCTAAGATTTTATTCTCTCTTTTGCTATTGTAAATGTAATTTTTTTTTCTTAATTTTCTTTTTAGATTGATATTTTTGTGTTTTGCTTTTTGTGTTCTGCAATTTTGCTGAATTTGTTTATTCTAATAGTTTTTTTGTGTGGAATCTTTAGAATTTTCTACATAGAAGATCATGTCATCTGCAATAAGATGACTTTATTCTTTCCAATTTGGATGTATTTTATTTCTTGCCTAAATACTGTGAATTTTTTAAGAAAAAATAAAAATTATATTTTTTAAAAAAGGAATTTGTGGTGCAGATTCATGTAGGCCAAGATGAGAATTTTGAGGAATTTACCCTTTGAAGGCAAAGGGAAACCATTGGAGGGTTTTAAAGTGGGGGAAGACGATCAAGTATTAGCTTTAAAAACAAAACAAAAAAAACATCCTATGATGGAGAGAGTAAGAGTGGATGCCCAAGACTAGTAGATTGCTACAGAGTGGTTTGATTTGGGCTAGGAGGAGGGCAAATGGTAAGAGTAGAGACAGAGAAAAGTGAAATGGGATTTGGTACTATATTTGGAGTTAGCAGTGACAGAATCAAATGGTGGTTTGGACATATGGCTGAGAACAAGGCAGGAGAGCATTTTTAAGGCCAATTCGTTTCTGGCTTGAGCACAACTAATTGGACTGAGATTACACAGTGTGGTTTAGAGATTTTTGTATGCAGAGTTTGAGGTGCTTGCGAAACAGCTGGTCAGAGATGCTGCAAAGCAAATTGTGTGTGAATCTGGGCATGGAAATAATACAGTGGATCAGTAAATAAGTTGACTCCACTTTGGGGGCAATCCAGGACCTAATCTAATATTTGCTGCATAGTACATGTTCAGTTACTGTTTGTGTAATGATTTCTTACAAAAATTCAACTCATTGTAGTACATTTAATTATCTGTAGTGTAAGAACTAATATTTTCTTTTTAGTATTATGTAAGTGGCATTTTATGGAAAGAAAGCCATTATTTCTTAATCAAACTGACTGTGTCATTTTTTTTTTTTTTTAAATATATCTTTATTGATTTCAGAGAGAGGAAAGGAGAGGGAGAGAGAGAGACAGAAACATCAATGATGAGAGAGTCATTGATCGGCTGCAGCCCGCAACCCGGACATGTGCCCTGACCGGGAATCAAACCCCGATCGCCTGGATCCTAGGTCGACGCTCAACCGCTGAGCCATGCCCAGCCGGGCTGTGTCATTTGTTTATATTGCCATTTTATGTCATCCAGCTCTCTTTAAAGGCTTGAATGTAGTAAATTCTGCTTTTTCCCCCCCAAATCCATAAATATAGAGAAAATTGATTAAAAGGTTACACACAAGTAAAATTCAAGATATTTTTATTTTTCTGGGATGGCAGTGGGAAAAGCAGGGAACGGAATAAAATTTGATGTGACTAGCTACTGAAGGATAAAAATCATAGTACTTTTTTCATAGGCCTGGCAAACTTTAAAAGAGGTGGTCTTTGATGTGATATTATAACTATAAGGAAAAACATGTTCTGGATTGGAGAGAAGTAGAGAAGAAAAGGGAGAAAGGAAAGCAGTGAAAGAAATAGACAGAGGGGATGGAGGGGAGTGAGTTTTGAATAGATCCTCAATCGAGTATTAGAATGTATCCTACTTTTGATCCATTTGAATCATGAACTTCAGAATACGTAATTTTTTCCTTTTAAAGCTAATGCTACTTCATAGCTCTTCAGTGCTATAAAATGTCATTCTAATTAGTAGACACAGTAGTCAAATGAGGTTTTTTCCCCTCCTCTCACCACTGTTAAAGCTGGAAGTCGGAAGATTCCATTATTCTGGCCCTGGTTCTGTCATTAACTGACTTTATGAACCTAGGAAGTCACTTACCTTCTGTGAGCCTCAGTTTACTCATCTGCCAAATGATGAAGCTGGACAAAATGATCCATAAAATTCCTTCTGCTCTGATATTGTATATTTCTTTGAAATCAGTTTTGCCCTAAGTATGGCAGTGGTTTCCCATGTTTAAAAAAATAAAACACAACTGTGTTTTTGAAATGTATAATATTAACATTTATTCTCCTAAATATCAAGTTAACACAGAAATTATTTTGCACAATTTGTCATTCTAACTTACTGCTATTTGAGATTTTAGGGGCTGAGATTCTCCTATTAAGATTGTCATCAGTTTTGTTAAATACTTGCCACCTATAAATAATTTTTTTGCATGATCTTCAGAGTTTGTTGATTATGAATTTTTGTGGGAGTATTTTAAATAATTCCCAGACTTTGTATCATTAGAGTTTCCTTTTGAGAGAATTATTGTATTAGGAAACTAAAGCTGTTAAGTCTATGACTTATTTATAGCCAGAATAACTTTATTTTAACTTTACTTTTCTTAAAGTTTTTATTTAAAATCTTTACACATTTTGCTTTGACATTGAATTGACTGTAAAAGGATATTTGCAGTATAATTGACCTAATGGGATCATGTGATACTAAAGAAAGAAAAGTAATGCCCTGTATATGTGAGACATAGAGTCAGAGGTACCAGAAAGTTACTACATTTATAAACTTTATCTGTCTTCAGTCTTTATACTTTTTGGTTTAGTTTAATGTAAAGATTAGAGAGTAGCAGGTACAAAGGTCTCTCAAGAAAAGAGTAAAATTTGGGATCCTGTGTTTAATTGCTTATATGGTCATGGTTTAATATTGAGGAGCATTGATCATACTATCTTATAGACACTAGAAGGTAGCAAGGATATTTAAAGAAGGGAAGAACATCTCTCGTTCTTCATCTTCTAGTGTGCAAATTATGTACTAGACATATCTTCCAGTCTGTTCATAAGTAATGAAATTGTGTATTTTATTTAAAGGGCATTTAAATTTTATTACTAAAAGTCTTTCAAAGGTTTCAAGCTGGCCATCACCAAGTAAATTTTTCAACATGGTTTTCATCCTGCTAAGGAAAACTTTAGGGAAAAATTTAAATTTGCACTTGTTAAAATTTAAATTCTTCTTCACAAATAGAAAAAAAAGGAATTCTTACTTTTAGTGGATCAGACGAGCACTAGGAAATTAAAATATTTGAAAAGAATAAAAATGTATTATGCCTAAGTGGTACTTAGGCAAATGTTGAGGTTTATTGATTTAAAAATAACAGCACAAATCTATAGGAGTTTTAGCAGACTCTCCCCACCTTTTTATTTATTTTTTGTATATTTTAATTTGTTCTGAAACGCCTATTAAAGCAAGATAAGACTTTCATCATTAGTGTTGCAACACAAATTTAGTTGAGTCTCATTTTCTAGAATATCCAAACGTTCTTTTGTGATTGTCTATATAAGTATGTAATTCCCTAGCACTGCAAATTTCTAAGGATGCTAATCCCTGGTATTCAGGAATAAATGCTGTGGGGGGTAAATTAGTATAATTTTAATAACATTGACTGTTAGAATTTAATGTGAAATTATTTTTATCATCAGAAAGTTAATTCACCTCATTCTAAATGATATGCTCAGGAGCAAAAATATTTAATGCAATTTTAAAAAGTTAGCTATATAATTTTATTTTACTTATAAGGTCAAGTATTTTGTGATAGCTGACTAACAGTAATAAATCATTGCTAAGAAGGGGTGGGGTAGTTTCTGTGCTTTTAAAAAATATATTCTTTATAAATATTTATTGCAAATGAATTATCACCAAATGTTAATAATCTGTTATGTCTTGTTTTTTAAAGTGAATGAATTTTTAGCTTTTGAGGGTCCCATCTTGTTGGATATGAGAATTAAACATCTAATCAAAACAAATCAGTTAAGTCAAGCAACTGCTCTAGCAAAGCTGTGTTCTGACCATCCAGAGATTGGTACAAAAGGTAGTTTTAAGCAAACTTACCTTGTCTGTCTTTGTACATCATCACCAAATGAAAAGTTAATCGAAGAGGTGAGTATGATTTCTTTTGTTAGTAATTATTTTTTAAAGTGAAGAAACTTTTAGAGTTTTTTGACTTCCCTTTCTCTTAGATAGTAAGGGAGGGACCATTGTTGTCAATCTTATATTTGGTATGCTCTTGGACAGTGATTCTAAACAACTTTCAGAATTACATGTAAAGTGATTCCACCTAGCTTCTGTTTTAAATAATTTGGATCTTTTAACTGCTTTGGCTAAATTATGGGAAAGATGGTGGTGACCTAACAATTTAGTAGGATGTTTGTATTTGTCAGCATTTGGGGCTTACTTTGTTTTACCTTACTTCAAGGTACTTGCAGATCTTTTAAACTGGCTAATTTAAGTAACTATAGAATTGATATGATTTCCTCCTAGGAGTACTTTCTCTGTTTTTAATGTGTATAAAAAACATTTAATATTTTTAATGTTTAAAAAGTATCTCATTCTCATGAAAACTGGATATTTATATCTCTTTCTAATTATATGTAAAGATAAGTTTTATATTTTCATATTTAATGTAAAACTTTATTTTCTTTGTGAGACATGATTGTTTTTTGTTTTTTGGTTTTTACTTCTAGTTTGACATAAAACATGGCATTCATGTATTTTTTATGTTTTATATTACAGAATTCTGAGAGTAGAATCATGGTCCAAATGGGAATTTTGCATTTTGGATGACTCATAATTCCAAAATGAAGTTGGAGACAGTTGTAGGAGAATTAAATGTTGACCAAGAAACAGGGAATAGGTATTGAAAGAATATGTATTTAGATAAAGAAAACTATATGTTAGGCAGTATTGTGTGAGAATATAACGTGTACAAGTGTCTTATATCTTTAATATAAGTATCCTTCAACTTCAGAACAAGAGAGAGGAGCACAAAGGGATTATGGGACAAACTTGAAGATATATAACTGGAAAAGTTGAGATGCAAGACAGAGAGGACATTTAACAGTGTGCATGATCACCTAAGTATACAGAGATTATAATCAGAGTCCAGAAAGAGGATAGCCTCAGACAGAAAGCTGAATACCCATATGAGGTTAGAGGCTGTAATTATAATGGTGAGTAGAAAGTGAAGAGGGAGATGGTAGGCTTGACCAAGATTAGAAATAAACCTGTTGTGTATGGGAAGGATAATGAGGATACTGGGAAGAGTGAATCTGGTGATTTCTAGGCTGGATGGAGTAGCACAAAGGGTTCTAGCTTAGGAAATTATATTAGTTTGAACATTGGCTCTTCTGTAGATTTTTTTTGCTATTTCTCTTTTATCTCAGGTAATTGGTTTTTTAATCAGTATATAGCAGAGCAAAATAGAAAATTGAAGTTTCCATATTCAAAGTAACTGTGGAGACAAGTTAATGGGTAGATGTATAAAGTTTCTGAGATAGTCTTTGATATGTGTGTAAGACTTCTTTTTAAAATTCGTAGTTATTGTGCTGCTACGTCTTAGATGTTTTTCAGTTCCACTAAAGCTTTTATTATCAATTCAGCCCCTGCCCTTAAGTCAGTCTGTCCATCTGTCCATTCTTCCTGTAGCAATTTTTATTTAGTGAATGATGTGTGTTAAGCACGGGAGGGTGGGGTTGGGGGTGAGGGGAGATTTAAAGGTGAGTGAGGCGTAGGCCTTGCCCTAAAGAGGCACCCTGTCTAGTAGGAAGCTATCTAAACATAGAGTTGTTGGGTTAGCTTTGAAGTCCTACTTGAAGTTGAAGACTATGAATTTGTAATCTCCAGGAAAAACATCTGTATTTTTAGCTGTTTTGAATAATCGAAAGATTATGTAATACGGAACCTAAATTAAATTCCCTTTTGGTTTAATTATCCAGAGTTGAGGAGCAGCAGCTCAGCCTGCTCTGGGAGAGCCTAAGGAAAATTCTCTATTTGGACCCTGGGTAGTTCTGATGTCATATGAAATTATTTTATTATATTTCCTTCTTGTGTTAAGCAGGAAGAATTAAGACATTCCATGTTCTTAAACAGAATTCACTAAAGTCTCTGTACCCTACCTCAAAAACAAAACTAGATCACATAGTACAGGACAGAATATGTGAAGTCTACACATTTTCTTGTTAAAAGTCCCTTTTTGCTTAGAGATTGTTTGATGATTATTTTATATTCTGTTACAAAAAGAAAAATTTTCTTTGTTTTATGTGTAGTAAATTGTCTTATTTTTTCTGCCCCAAGTAAAGGTAGTCACTTTGGAACAGTTGCCCAAAGACATTGCCCCGTCAGAATAGGTGTGCTTGGTGTCTCACATGACCCACTTCATTCACTTACTTTATCTGTCTGGTTCTTGTAAGCGTCTGAGTTTTCACCCATTCCTTAAAGTGTGGTGGGAATAGATACTGGAAAGAATCAACCATACCTTGGATCTGTGGTGCTTCTGCAGAAATCCTTATCCAAGTGAGCCAGTAGGATTGGCTGTTTTCTAGAACCCTTTCAGCATGATAGAATTATCAGCTAGCCCTGGCAGAGGAGTTGCTACTCAGGGAAATTAGTGTCTGTCTGGCTTCTCTGGAAGGAATGAGCTTTGGCCTGCATTCTTGGTGTAGGTATAAAAACAAAGTTAGCAGTGTTTATTTTAGATTCAGTATTTCTATTGGTTTTGTCGTTAAAACAAACATAGAAATCTGAATAGTAAAATCCTCTATCTTGTCTTTTTCTAGCCATCATTTCCTTACTTAATACTCCCCCAAGTAGTCATTAAGTTTGAAATTTGATATATAAACTTTCTGACATTTTTCTATGTGTATATGTATATATATTATATACTTTATGCACTTAAAACATACATACACACATCCTGGGTGCTAATCACTCTTCACCTCTTATTATGGACATCTTTCCATATCATTTCTTATAGATCAACCTCATTTTTCTCATGGCTGCATAATTTCATATTGTGGATTTGTAATATCTTTAAGCCACTGGGGGACATTTAAACTGTTGGCTTGTACATACATCCTTTTGTTCTTGTTGGGGTTGTACTGGTAGGATAAATTTCTAGAAGTGATATATTGCTGGATCAAAGAATCTACACATGTTAAATTAATACACAGAGCCATACTGTCATCCAAGAAAGATTATGCCAATTTATGCTCCCATGAATAGTATGTGAAATTTCTTCTTTTCTAATACTAGAGGTTATCCATCTTTTAAATCTGTGCTAGCCTGAGAGTTAAAAAACAATAGGAGCTCATTATTTGATTTTACATTTTCTTAGTATGACAGGTTTTACCATTTAACTTCTTTTCTGGATGGAAAGCAATTTTATTTTGATAAGCAAACACTGTCCTTGAAATGTAATTAGAGCCAGTACATTTTAAAAATATACTTGATGAAACTATATAATCAAGTGTTCTGTATTTTTTGAATAGCTGGCATAAATAGCAACTTTTATAAAACACAAAAGTTGTTCACATTTTTGAGTTTTTTGCTATACAAAGGGATTTAGCATAGTATATCTTTAACAAACAGATCAACCTAATTGACTTTAAGTATTTTATTCAGAGTTCTCAATTTTCTGGTTTAAATTTTTGCTCACTTTTCAAAGCAATAGAGAATACTTATCTGTAATATATACATAGTCCCTGTATAAGTAATATATTGATAATCCCTACCTTATGCTGCCTTGGATTTCAAAAATAATTCTTAGTTATTGATGGCTATATTTGACATGTATTTCACTTTTACAATGTCTGTTCAACCATTCATTTAAGTATGGTTTCATTTTCCCTGCCATTCTCTTTAGTGTCATATTTTTCAAGAGGGCCATGTAGTGGCAAATGAGGGATTTAATAAAGCCTATCAAGTGTACAGTATAAATTTTCATAGTATACGTATAACAAGTGAGGTTTTTCTTTATTATTGAGTATAGCAAATATTTCAGTTGGTATATTGAATATATAAGAATAAATATATAGAGGCTGTCTTACATATATATAAATATATTTTAAATTATTAAATGTAAGCTAATGTAGGTAATATTATTGGGAAAATAAATTTCTGTATACATAATGTACACATTTTGTATCATTTGAGCATTTAACAAGAATTACTTAGGTTTTAGAAGAGCAAAAAAGAAATAATCAGAATCAAAATTAATCAGACTTTCCAAGATATGCAAATTTTTGTTAAACTTGAACATGTAAAAATCAGTGTTTAGCAATAAAGGGCTTCAGTGTGCTTGTGCCTGTGGAATTCTGGCAAGTGCACAGACTTTGAAACTAGACCTGGGTTAAAATCTTGACTCTTCCACTAATTAAGCATGTGCCTTCGAGTAAGTAATTTTACCTCTCTGAACCTTATCTCTAAAAGAAGTAGTTGTATCTACCAGGCAAGCTATTGTGCTGGCTAGCAATGCTATTTCTGAAGAAGCTGACACTAATAAATGAATAGTAGCTGCTATTGTTTTTATTAACATCTTATGAAAAAGTAAAAAACAAAAACAAAATTCATGGATTGAATTCCTAACATTTGTCTCCATGGGTATGCCAGGGTAATTGTTTAAAGTTAATACAGCTTTTAATAAAAGATGCTGTGATAAGATGGAAAGAGAGTTGGTCTTTGATGTAAGTCAGATATAAGTTGATTTGTGGTTCTAACACTTAACTAACCGTGGTAACTTGGGCAAGTTAGGTAATTTCTTTGAACCTCACATTCATTATATATGAAATGTTAATGATAATACCAACCTAGTGGGAAAATTGTGATCAAATGTAATATATATATAATGTCTGATAATGCATTTAATATTACAGGTATTTGAAAGTATTTACTGTATAAATATATATTGTTTGGCCCTGTTTTTTATTTGTTTAAATGGGGTAACTTTTTAAGAAAGAGGCAGACAGAGCAGCAGTGAAAAGAACACTGCACCAAGGAGTTTCAAGACTTAGGTGTTAGTCTTAACTCTGCCATCAACTTCATACTTACTTTAAGAAATTACTGTCTTTAAACACAGACTCTGAGTTGTTCTCTAGCCCAATTTAATGTATAAAGTAGAACCTCTGAATCTATCCCCATGCAACCTTTATCCTTATTATCAAAGATCAATCTCAGGATACCCTCATCTCCAGACACTTGTTCAGTCCTAAACACATTACATATACACGCACACTTAAAAGTTGATGGGGGAGAGGTAGAAGATCAACAAGGAGGGGCATGGTTACCTCTGTGGTACATGGGTGCTAATGGTCTGTATTGGTCTTCAATTCTTTTTGCCATTTGTCAGTTGCGCCATGTTGGAATTAGTCTTTCTATTCTGTGGAACACCAGTGATTTGCGATTGTATACTATTTGTTACATCCTTGTCTTAGAGCAAATGCTTGTGGAAATTATAGGTAAATTTTGTTTGTTTTATGTAGTAAATCATTGTAATGAGGTAGTAAATTTTAATTTTTTAAGAAGCAATAGATGTAAGTGCATAATTAAATGAAGCAAGTTGCCATCATCTAGGTTATACCTTTGCATGCATGACTGTTGACAAGCTTTGAGATGGAACGATTGTATATGAAAAGAAAAATACTGGAGATTTATAGAAAACTGAGGTGAGCTTAATTTAAACGTGTTATAGCTATATAAAATGTTTCATATTATACTTTAATATTCCCCTCAAATGAATAGACACTTTATTTGTTAGTCTATATCCAGTAGACCTTTCTGTGTCTTTCTGTTAATTCTAACGCTTTTTAAATTATTGGATAAAGGGGGGGAAATATAAGTACCACAGTTTTTTCAGTATCATAGATGTGATTTAATGGATAGAGGGTGCTTATAATTAGCATTAGTTATTTACATAGAAATGCATGCTTGTAAAGTTGTTGAAAATAGTTGGTTCTCTGGCTTGAAGAAAGATTATTTCTTTAAAGTCTAGCTTAGTAATGACAAATTATGAATTGATAGTGCTTGAGTTAATGAGGTTTTACTGGTGGAAATGATCTATAAATATCTCATGAAAATTTGCAAGTATATTACTATAGTCTTAATATAAAACCATTTTATAGCATGTTTCTATATCCTTTTTCTGTAGATTTCAGAAGTTGATTGCAAAGATGCTCTGGAAATGATCTGTAACTTAGAATCTGAGGGTGATGAAAAAAGTGCTCTTGTTTTATGTACTGCATTTTTGTCTCGTCAGCTCCAGCAAGGAGAAATGTACTGTGCTTGGTGAGTTGATTTTCTTTTGTAAAGAAAAGTTTGTCAAATAAGAATGCAAGATAGATTGTAAGAATTCAGATAGCTTAAGAATGTTTTCAAATATCTTTTTAAGTCTTGTCAAGGTAAACTTATTTTCAGATATTATATGCTGTTTAAACTGATTATCAAGTAGTTCATATTATAACTTCAAAAACGTTTTGTATTAAGGACCACACAACTCCTTAATATACTGATAATGATCGCATAATTATCAGTATTGGTCAGGAAATTTTTAATGTTGGAAAATGAAAGAAAAGCTTATTTTGTCTTATGCTACAATAAAAAATTTATCAGAATTTTTTACAGTCTATGATTGAATGTGTCTTATTTTTTTCCTCTGCATATTGCACACTTTTAGCTCTATGAAACTAGCTGTTAGTCATTTATGTATGGAAATATAGTGGGGGGGTTTTCTGTAAGAGATCATTCTACTTCACTGACTTCTTCAATGCATATTTCTTTCTTTATGGTACATTTCCAAGTGGGCGTAGCCTGTTATATTTAGTCCTTTGGGGGAGGATACAGCTAAAAGAGATGTTGACTTCAGTTAACTCAAAACACTTTAAGACCAGCTGTCTTAAATTGGTGCTAAAACTGACCATTTATCTGATTAGTCAACAGCATTATTAATCTTAATTGTTGTTGGGTGTTACGGAAACAAAAAAGAAAATTGAGTTTTCAGTAGTCTGACATTTAAGAATGTTTACCAAGTGACACTTGGCATACAAATGAGTATAGAACAGGCAAGCTAAATAAATGGTTGTGTAATCAAAGAATAGTAAAGTGCATAATTAAAAAGGTTTTCTGAGCAGTTGAGCTTTGTTATGAAGGGAAAATTGTACATGCAATATACAGAAAATTAATATAAAAGGCAGGTATAAAGATTATGAAGACAGAATAAATAACATGTATTTATTGAGAACAAGTGGATTTCCTATATAAAAGTATCGTTGATGACTAAGAAGTTACTGTATTATATTGGTTTTAAAAATCATCTAAGAGTATATATATGAGAATTGAAAGCAGTCTTATAAGACCTAAAGGAGAAGGAGAAGTTTATGTTTGGAGACACTGTTTAAGACAAGCAGTTGAGAATGGATTGGGAGCTGAATGGTGAGGGCAGAGTTGGGGGGGAATGAAGTGGCAGTATAGGAAGTTGAGTTGAGACAGGCAAATCAACTAGAAAGCCAGTAAATAGTCCAGCTGGGAGGCTGTGTAGGCTTCGTTATAGATGTAGGATGTAGTGAAAGAAACATAAGGTAACAGTCTTGAGGATAGTAAGCAGCAGAGGCTAATAAGGGTCAGTGATAATGATACATTAAGTTAGAAAGATCGCTAACTGTAAAGAATGTTAATCATCTTTTTCATATATTAAGTTTCAGGTTTCAGAAGAGATCAAAGTGGAGAAGTCTTATAAAGAACTAGAGAGGTGAAAGTGGTAAAGACTGGAGAGACAGATTTTGAAGTCCTCAATATATAGTTTAAAATCCAGAAATGAGCAAGTTATTCCAGTGGGTGGTGAAAAGATCAGAGTTCCTAGGAGTGGAAACTGAGGAAATGCTAATAGGAAAGCCTGTATTGAGGACAATACTTGGTGAAAGAAGATTTTTATGGAAGTTAACCATGGAGGACAGAAGAGAATTAGGATGATAGGTAAAAGGGAGAAAAATTCACCCCTTCAGTAAGATTATTTTCTACGAAAAATACATTGTAATTGCATTTGAATACATTTCAAAGTTCATTTTTAAAAATTTCTATTACTGTTTCACTGCTGTGACACAGGTTGTTACTTTTGGGTTCTGTGTCGTCATTGATTCTTAACATTTAGCTGATAATAAGCTATTTGAAAATTTTAATTTAATTGACCAATTAAATGGATCAATTTTAAATTTAAGTTAAAAAAAATTAAATGCTTTTTAAAAACCATTTTACCATCAGTGCATTTTATATATACACACACATTTTGTGTTTTCTTATTACTTAAAGTTCAGATGTGGCTCAAAGTTGCAATTTGTGTAAATTGTTTAAATGTCAGATACTTTTCTAGTAAAAGCAGTGCTTTTCTCTCTGAGATTGAAAGATATTAATAAAATGGTGAATTATACTCTGATTTTATTTAGTCTCTAGAAATCGAGATTTAAAAAAAATTTTTTTTTTTTGCTTTTAAACTTAATTATACATGTAGAATTCAAATCTAAAACCAGTTTTAATTTTCAAATGTCATGACTGCACTGACATAATCCATGTTTATTACATTCCTGCTCCAACTTATTTTTTTATATATTTTTAGGGAACTCACTCTCTTTTGGAGTAAATTACAGCAGAGAGTAGAACCATCCGTACATGTGTACCTGGAAAGATGTCGTCAACTTTCTTTATTAACCAAGACGGTATATCACATTTTCTTCCTGATTAAAGTTATTAATTCAGAGGTAAGAAAAATCAAGGTATTATTTCTTAATTTAAAATACATAAATTATCTTTAATAAAAGACTTTATTATTTTGGCACCTTTTCCACTGACTTTTATTTAGTGCTTTGGACGTCAATTTTTTCATTATTCCTTTAAGGCATTTGATGCTGAGAAACTTAAAAATGCAGATGAGAGCCAGAGGCTTGCTCTTAGCCTGTGGAAAAGTAATACAATTTAATATTTAATACACTTAATAATTTACCATTGTATAATTTTTACTCATAGGCGTCATACTATTTTGATAATTTGCCTCTATAGAAATGTAGAGAGTGTAAAGAGAAATATAGAGTTAGCTTCCTTTGCCAGCCATCTGGCAGATCACACTATCTAAAAATCCTTCTTGTACACAACACCCAGAAATACTTGATGAAATAAGACAATTTTTTTAAATGTATAGTAGCTGAGATTGCAAGAATTAGGGAGACCCCCAGGCTCAAAAGGAAGAGGAACCTAAAAACTGGAGCAGAGAGCTTGAGCTGATGCTGGACCCCTCCTTCCTGGTGGAGATTGGGATATGTTACTACTTGCAATAAGGGGTTTGAGTTTTAATACTTACATAGGGACAGGAGATAGCTAGATCTTGGCTCTCTCAAGTTGGAGAGTTAGAGCTGAGCTCTATGTCTCCCTCCCCTCCTCCACCAACCTGTGAAGTATAATTTCATTGAAAATAGATTAGAAAAATATTACTCTCTAACACAGATGGATGATAGGGAACCTTCTGCATGTCCAACTGCTCTGTGAGTGAGGACAAAATGTTTCCTCTAAGAAGTTATAACCATTGGTCTGCCCCCACACAGATTTGGGGTCTAAACTTACCTTACCTGTATAGTCCAGGATAACAGGGTAAGGATGAAGTGAGTCTGGGTTGGTAATACCTGGCATTCCTGGCAGAAGCAATTGCAAACCTAGAGAGATAAACCCTTAGCACAGGATTCTCAGATAAAGCCCTGTTTATGATGAGGTCACAATCAAGATTTTTCAAAACATGAAACAGTCTGCCAAGGGAATTTTAGCAGAGAGAAAAAAAACAATAGGATTAAACATGCAAGAATAAAAACTATAAACTACATAAATTTAAAGACAAATTATCACAGTTTATAAAACAGGCCCAGCCGGGCGTGGCTCAGCATTGACCTAGGATCCAGGCGATCGGGGTTCTATTCCCAGCCAGGGCACATGCCCAGGTTGCAGGCTGCAGCCGATCAATGACTCTCATCATTGATGTCTCTCTCTCTCTCTCTCTCTTTCTCTCCCTCTCCATTCCTCTCTCTGAAATCAATAAAGACATATTTAAAATAAATAAATAAATAAATAAATAAATAAATAAATAAAGTGGATAACCAACCACTTAGAGGACTTTAAAAAAAAAAGACAATTTATAAAAACAGGCTGGCCAACATGGCTCAATGATTGAGCATCAACCTATGAACCAGGAGGTCACAGTTCAATTCCCAGTCAGGGCATTTTCGGGTTGTGGGCTCCATCTTGGGGGGGAGCAGGGCGGGGGTGGTGCAGGAGGCAGCTAATCAATGACTCATCACTGATATTTCTATCTCTCTCTCCCTCTCTCTGAAATCAATAAAAACATTTTTTTAAAGATTTATAAAACATGAAGCAATCTGGCATGAATGAATTTCAGTAGGTAGAATAGTAGAATTATTTCCCTAATACTTGATAATAAATACAATTACAGATAAATCTATAATATACATGTTTAAAGACATAAAATAAGGAATGAAAGCATGAGAAAGATACTATCAAAATGACCAAGCAGATTTTGAGTCAAAGAACTTTTAGAAATAAAAAAACATAGTCATTGAAATGAAAACACTTAACAGATGAATTAAACAGAGTAGATACAACTGAAGAGGGAAGTGATAAGCAGAGGTTGCATATGTGTTTCCATTTATTTATTAACTGTATCAGAATCCAAAAACTAATTTATTTTCTTTATAAAACTAATTTATTTTCTTGTGATAACCCTTGTAGGAATGCAGTTGGTTTCCATTTTAAATATTCACAGAAGACACTTTCCAAACATGTTACCATGCATAGCATGGAATGCCAAACAGTTTTTAGGAACCCTTAAAAACTGGGATGCAGCGTGACAAGAAGTATTTTTAAATTAATGTATACTTTTGTTTTTTGAAAGGAGGAACCAAAAGACACTCTCCTCTCCTTTTTAAAGTACCTTTTAAAATCTGTAGTCAGTATATCTTACATGTATCTTCATTTTTTTTCCCTCCTGAAATAATTTCATTTTGAGGAGTAAAGAGCAGGAATGAGTTCTGCTTTCCTGTTTTTCTGTATCATCCTTGTTAACTCATCCTGATTTTTCATTTTATATATCATAGTTCTACCGTTAAAAAAATAAACTTAGAACAATAGGTTTCTTAGGAAATTACTGTGCAGTTTAAAAATAGAGGTTGTGCTGCTGCTCTTATCTAACTTAAAGAGCATCATGGTTAAATAGAAGGAACTTAGAACTAGAAGTCAGACAAATTGGGTATAAATCTTGACTTGCTATTGACCACCTGGTGACTTTAACCACTTTGGATTTCACTTCTTAATCAGGATAATCTAGAAGGTTAGGTAGAAAATACTTTCCTCCCTCAGCTTTACACCACTCTCACAAGGACACTGTGTTGAAGAAGCAAAAGGAACTTGAGCAAAAGCTACACACTATGGTAGCTGTGAGGCAGTCATGGCTATTAAAATTAAGTAAAATGTAAAATTCTTTCTTCAATCACAGTAGCCTCATTTTAGATGCGCAATAGCTCCTGTGGCTAGTTAGTACCATGTTGAACAGCACAGATAAAAAACATCTCCATCATCTCAGTTCTGTTGAGTAGTGCTTTTCTAGAGACTTTGTCAAACGTAAAGCACATGAGGAAGAAGTTAAAAGCATGAGTAGCCCAGCAGGGTTGGTCAGTTGATTGGAGCATCGACCTGTACATCAAAAGGTTGTGGGTTCGATTCCCAGTCAGGGCACATTACCTGGGTTTTGGGTTTGATCTCTGGTCAGGGCATGTGTGAAAAGCAACCAATTCATTTTTTTCTCTCTCCTTCCCTCCCTCTCCCCCCCCCCGAAAATCAATAGTGCATATCCTCTGATGAGGATTTTTTTAAAAAGTATGAATAGCTTTGTTTTCAGAACTATGGATGAAGAACAAAATACATATTTCTTATTATGTTATAATAACACAAATTAGTATCAAGACAAATGAGAGAATGGCATATTTGGGGAACTGCAGTTACTTCAGTTTGCCTAGAATTGTAGGCTGTTTGGATAGAGGAAAAGGTAAAAGATGAAGCTAGATGATATGACACATGGGTTAGATTGTGAAGGCCCTTTTGTATTCCATGCTTAGTTATATTTAATTCTGAAATTAACCATTTAAGAATTTTGAAGCAGGATAAAACAAAATACTGTGGAGGGTTAGGGGAGGCTAATGGGAGATATTTGGGGAACTGCTATTAGCATGTAAGCCCTGAGTAGCTTTAGGTCAAGGATACTAGCTAGCCAGAGGAAAGGGGAAAAACAAAGGGATATCAAAGATAAAACCTTGCATTTTTTTTTAGAAGTTTTCCTGGTACTATACTAGTGCCAGGAAGGGGCATTTATCTCTATTCCTCCTTTGAATTGGTATCACTTAGCTTTCTGTTTCTGTGGCTCATAAATTTAAGCTCCTGCTATCAGTACTTTTATTAAATGAGGTTATTAAGTAAATTTTTATGGACTAATTGTTTAATTACATGTACTTATGGGAAATTGTGATTTCAAACTCAACTTTAAAAACACTTCTTATATAACCAGTTTATTATATGAATATTACTTATAAACTTAATTTTTAATTACACAAACTCGAAAACTCAGAAGAATAAAAATTTTGTAGTTTATTGTTTTGTTGGTGTTATTTGTTAAGGTTTCAATTTATTTATAACATAAAGATTTTTGTTGTTTTTTTGTTAATCCTCACCCGAGGATACTTTTTCCATTGATTTTTAGAGAGAGTGGAAGAGAGGGAGAGAGGGGGGCCGAGAGAAAAACATCCAATATAAGAGAGACACATCGATTGGTTGCCTCCTGCACACACCCCAAACAGGGCTGGGGATCGAACCTGCAACCCAGGTATGTGCCCTTGACCAGGAATCAAACCTGCGACCCTTTGGTGTTCGGGCAGCGCTCCAACCACTGGGCAACACCAGGCAGGGAACATAAAGAGTTTTTTTTTTAAATATATCTTTATTGATTTCAGAGAGAGGAAGGGAGAGGGGAAAGGGAGAGATAGAAACATCAATGATGAGAGATTTGTCATTGATCAACTGCCTCCTGCACGCCCCCACTGGGAATCGAGCCTGAAACCCAGGCCCTGACAGGGAATGGAACCGCAATCTCCTGAATCCTAGGTCGATGCTCAGCTGCTGAGCCACGCCCAGCCAGGACATAAAGATGTTTTTAAAGCAAATTTACTCAAAGCTATTTGCCCTTAATGAGTTGAAATGAACCCTTGAATCCAGTAGCAAACTGAATTAGAAATGTCAGTTGAGTTTCTCTCCGAAGTAATTTGAGTTGCATTTTTTAAGCAGTAAGTAGATTTTTTTGAATCAGTTTTTTCCAGCTCAGGAGGAGCTTGATATTCATATGACAGAAAATAGTTACCTTACTCAAAGTAGGTATCCTTCATCCACAAATCCTCTGTTCCCTGAATACTTTCTTAAAGTACTTTCTCCAACATTTCCTGACTTTTCTAAATAAGTTCAGCCTTTTCTAGAATTCTCTCTCTCTACATATTTACCAATTTTTCTGACATATGCTGTCATTATTACTTCAGATCATCTTTATGGTTGACTTGGCCTTTAATTCCTCCAAGACTTCTTTCTTCAAACCCTCTTCTTTCCAATATACAGCTTCATTGACCTCATCTCCCCTCCCCCTTCCATATTCTAACAGAGAAGTTGTCTAATTGTCTACCATTATTAGTAGCCCCTAAGGCATGTAACAATGATGCAAAAGTTTTTACTGTAAAAGTTTTCTGGCTCAGACCTATCTCAGATAAGTATAAAATAATGACTCAAGTTTATGCGAAGGCCAGAGACAACCATATGGTTCCACCTCTTTCCCAATTGTCCTTTCTTCACTGTCACTTTTAAAAATGAGTTTCATATTCTTGTTTTGTCCATCTTTTTTTCTTTGTTTTCTTGGTCTTTGTACTCTCCCTGAAATCAAGTCCATTTCAGTATACCAGCCTCCTTTCCTCACTCTCTTTTTGGCCCGCAAGTCTAATATTCTGTTTAGTAAAACATTTTATTTATTTCTTAATTGGTGAAAGTACAGATCCTATCAGCTTTTGACTTCTTTTCTTTCTTGCCTTTTGGTCTTATACCACACATATTTCATTCTCATAAATGTGACCACATCTTTTGGTTGGCTTATTTTTCATATATATATTCCCTTTTATCCTTTTAAAACCCGTTTTATCTTCATGTATCTTTCAAATGACATTCATTACTGCTATCTTATAATAACAGTTCAAGATACTAATTCAAAATGAAAAAAGTTTATTATGTCTTCTAATTCTTAAGCTGGTCTGGCCATGTGATAGGTGATTTGGCATTCAATTTTGTGATAGAACTGGAACCTCCACTATTAAGGTCGAATAATTTTATTCTGTTAAAAGTGAAAGCCTTGTTTCATTATCCAGGAAATACGGGTACATTCTCAGTTTTGTAGTTGGGTTAAGAGGGTTTTGTTTCAGAAGGATTGCAAATGCAAACGTAGGAAATGAGATTTGTGATAAAGGTAATGGCATCGATTCATCACTTACTGTGTGCCAGACATACCAGACTATACCAACTACTTTAGATACATAACATCCACTTAATGCTCACAGCAATTTTACAGAGTTTGTTCTCTTTTGGTCTCTGTTTTATATGTGGGATATGAAAGGTCAGAGAGGTTAAATAACTTTGGCTGCTAGTTAGATAATTTTGGCTGCCAGTACTTGTGCTTTTTCTCCTACTCTGTGCAGTACATTTTACACATACTCACCACTACCACCACCACCCCAGGCTAAGCTGCAATGCTTTGTAAGGAGGAACATCTCATATATTAGCTATCGCAAAATTTGAGAAAAACACCTCAATTTTAAAGTACTAAATTCACAAATCTGTGTTGATGAGCCTAGATTAAGTTAACATTTCCTATTTCCTTTTTCATAGACTGAAGGGGCTGGACTTGCTACCTGCATAGAACTATGTGTAAAAGCTCTTCGCTTGGATTCTACAGAAAATACCGAAGTGAAAATATCTATTTGCAAGACCATTTCGTGCTTGTTGCCTGATGATCTGGAAGTTAAACGTGCTTGTCAGCTGAGCGAATTTCTTATTGAGCCTACAGTAGATGCATATTATGCTGTGGAAATGTTGTATAACCAGCCGGACCAGAAATATGATGAAGAGAATCTTCCAATACCAAATTCTCTACGCTGTGAGCTCTTACTTGTATTAAAAACTCAGTGGCCCTTTGATCCAGAATTCTGGGACTGGAAAACCTTAAAGCGACAGTGTCTTGCATTAATGGGGGAAGAAGCATCCATTGTGTCTTCAATCGATGAACTAAATGACAGTGAAGTTTATGAGAAAGTAGCAGACTACCAGGAAGAGATTAAAGAAACATCTGTGAATGGACTTTCTGGTGGAGTTGGTGCTAATTCTGGCCTTCTTTGTGATGAAAAGCAGAAGAAGAGAGAGATAAAACAATTAAGAGAGAGGGGATTTATATCTGCTAGGTTTCGGAATTGGCAAGCCTACATGCAGTATTGTGTGCTATGTGACAAAGAATTCCTTGGTCATAGAATAGTACGACATGCTCAAAAACATTACAAAGATGGGATTTATAGTTGTCCTATATGTGCAAAGAACTTTAATTCTAAAGAAACTTTCGTCCCTCATGTCACGTTGCATGTTAAACAATCTAGTAAAGAGAGACTAGCAGCTATGAAACCATTAAGAAGATTGGGAAGGCCTCCTAAAATCACAACTACCAATGAGAATCAGAAGACTAATGCTGTGGCCAAGCAGGAACAGCGGCCTATAAAAAAGAATAGTCTCTATTCAACAGACTTTATAGTATTTAATGACAATGATGGTTCAGATGATGAAAATGATGACAAAGATAAATCTTATGAGCCAGAAGTGATCCCAGTCCAGAAACCAGTACCTGTCAATGAATTTAATTGCCCTGTAACTTTTTGTAAAAAGGGCTTTAAGTACTTTAAAAATCTAATTGCTCATGTAAAGGGGCATAAGGATAGTGAAGATGCCAAGCGCTTTCTTGAAATGCAAAGCAAAAAAGTTATTTGCCAGTACTGTAGGCGGCATTTCGTAAGTGTTACTCATCTCAATGATCACTTACAAATGCACTGTGGCAGTAAACCATATATCTGTATACAGATGAAATGTAAGGCTGGTTTTAATAGTTATGCAGAGCTCTTAACCCACCGAAAGGAACATCAAGTTTTTAGAGCAAAGTGTATGTTTCCTAAATGTGGCAGGATTTTTTCAGAAGCTTATTTACTATATGATCATGAAGCACAGCATTATAATACCTATACTTGTAAGTTCACAGGTTGTGGTAAAGTGTATCGTTCTCAGAGTGAGCTAGAAAAGCATCTGGATGATCACAGTACTCCTGAAAAATCACTTCCTCCAGAAGAACAACTTAATTCATCTGGAGCTTCTGTTCAGCCTTCAAAAGTAAATCAAAACTCAGAAGGGAATACCGAGAAAGAGAAGTCTATGCTGCTTTCACAAAATAACGTTGAAAATACCTTATCAGCAGGTAGAAGTGATGCTTGCGATAAAAGCAAGGCAGAATCAGCTGTGGCCAAACAAGACCAGATTTCTGCTTCTGAGCTCAGGCAAGCTGATGAACCATTGTCAAATGGTTTGGAAAACCCTGCTGCTGCTACTCTGCTACAGGCCAGTGAAGTAGCTGTGTCCATTAAGGTGTCCCTCAATCAGGGGATTGAGGATAACTTTAGAAAGCAAGAAAATTCAACTGTGGAAGACACTGGTGAATCACTGGTTGCAAACTTACATACAGTAGTTGAAGATACTTGTAATGATTTGTGTCATCCAGGTTTCCAGGGGAGAAAAGAACAGGATTGCTTTAATGAAGCCCAGATTACTCAGAATTCTTTAGTAAATTCAGAAACCCTCAAAATAGGGGACCTTACCCCACAAAACTTAGAAAGACAAGTGAACAACTTGATGACCTTTTCTGTGCAAAATCAGACAGGATTTCAAAACAGTTTGCCAACATCCAAGTTTGAATGTGGAGGTAATGTTAAAACATCATCCAGTCTTTATAATTTACCCCTTAAGACATTAGAAAGTATCACATTTGTTCAACCACAGCCTAACCTAAGTAGTTCTTTAGGAACTCCATCAGTGCCTCCAAAAGCACCAGTTCAGAAGTTCAGTTGCCAGGTTGAGGGATGCACTCGAACCTATAATTCCTCACAGAGTATTGGGAAGCACATGAAGACAGCACACCCTGACCAGTATGCTGCATTTAAAATGCAATGCAAAAGTAAAAAAGGCCAGAAATCTAACAACTTAAATGCACCAAATAATGGAAAGTTTGTTTATTTTTTGCCATCACAGATGAGCGGCTCTAACAATGCATTTTTTACACCACAGACCAAAGCCAGTGGGAATTCTACTTGTTCAAATCAGTTGCAGCACGTCTCATCTACCATTTTTCCAGCTCATTTATCCAGTGTGTCAACTCCACTATTGCCCTCAGTGGAAAGTGTCATAAGTCCAAATATACCTCCTCAGGATAAAAGTGAACAAGGTGGTAGTATGTTATGTTCCCAGATGGAAAATTTGTCTAATACTACCTTGCCAGCACAAATGGAAGATCTAACCAAAACAGTTTTGCCTTTGAATATTGACAGTGGCTCAGATCCTTTCCTTCCTTTACCTGCAGAAAGTAGTTCAATGTCTCTCTTCCCTTCACCAGCAGATAGTGCAACAAATTCTGTTTTTTCCCAACTGGAAAACAATACAAATCATTTTTCCTCACAAATTGAAGGAAACACTAATTCCTCCTTTCTAAAAGGAGGTAATGTTGAAAATGCAGTTTTTCCCTCACAAGTAAATGTTGCAAATGACTTCAGTAGCAACAGTGCGCAACAATCTGCTCCTGAAAAAGTTAAAAAAGAGCGTGGGCGGGGCCCAAATGGGAAGGAAAGAAAACCCAAGCACAACAAAAGGGCTAAGTGGCCTGCAATTATCAGAGATGGGAAATTCATCTGTAGCAGGTGCTATAGGGCTTTTACCAATCCCAGATCTCTGGGTGGACACTTGTCTAAGCGATCTTACTGTAAACCACTGGATGGAGCAGAAATTGCTCAAGAACTTCTACAGAGTAATGGACAGCCTTCTCTTCTTGCCAGCATGATTCTCTCCACAAATGCAGTAAATTTGCAGCAGCCACAACAGTCTACCTTCAGTCCAGAAACATGTTTTAAAGATCCATCATTCCTGCAACTTCTTGCTGCTGAAAATCGCGCTTCAACATTTTTACCAAATACATTTCCTAGGACTGGCGTGACTAACTTTAATACAAACGTTAGTCAAGAAGGAAGTGAAATTATTAAACAGGCTTTGGAAACTGCTGGCATTCCCAGTACATTTGAGGGTGCTGAAATGCTTTCTCATGCTCCAACAGGTTGTGTCTCAGATGCAGCACAAGTAAATGCGACAGTGATATCAAACCCAGCAGTGCCACCACCCCTGTTGCAGACCGTATGCCACCCAAACTCCCTGCTGACAAACCAGAATAGGGCACCAAACTCCAAAACTCCCTCCATTGAGGAGTGCAGCAGTTTGCCTGTTTTTCCAACAAATGACTTACTACTGAAGGCTGTTGAAAATGGTTTGTGCTCTAGTACATTCCCTAATTCTAATGGGCCATCACAGAATTTTACCAGCAACAGTTCTCGTGTTTCAGTTATAAGTGGTCCTCAGAACACAAGGTCCAGTCATTTAAATAAAAAGGGAAACAGTGCTTCTAAGAGAAGAAAGAAAGTTACTCCTCCACTAATTGCCCCTAATGCTTCCCAAAACCTGGTAACTAGTGATTTAACGTCAATGGGACTTATAGCAAAAAGTATTGAGATACCAACTACTAACCTTCATTCAAATGTAATTCCAAATTGTGAACCTCAGGCTTTGGTGGAAAACCTAACACAGAAATTAAGTAATGTTGACAATCAGTTATTTATGACTGATGTGAAAGAAAACTTTAAAACCAATCTTGAGTCTCATACAGTGTTAGCTCCTTTACCTTTAAAAACTGAAAATGGTGATTCCCAAATGATGGCTTTGAATTCATGCACAACTTCAATAAATTCTGATTTGCAGATTTCTGAAGACAATGTTATACAAAACTTTGAAAAGACTCTTGAAATTATTAAAAGTGCTATGAATTCTCAAATACTTGAAGTGAAAAGTGGATCTCAGGGTGTTGGTGAAACATCACAGAATGCTCAAATAAATTATAACATTCAGCTTCCTTCAGTAAACACTGTACAAAATAATAAATTACCTGATTCTTCTCAGTTTTCCTCCTTCATAAGTGTCGTGCCAACAAAAAGTAACATTCCTCCGTCTGAAGTATTACATAAGGAGGATCAAATTCAGGAAATTTTAGAAGGCTTACAGAAATTAAAATTAGAAAATGACCTGTCCACTCCAGTGTCCCGGTGTCTGCTAATAAATACGTCAGTGACACTGACTCCTGCTCCTGTTAAATCAGCTCCAAATGCTACAGTTGTTCAGCCAGTTTCTGAAATGCTAAATAATATTCAATTTTCTGACAAAGTTAATAAACCCTTTGTGTGTCAAAACCAAGGCTGTAATTACAGTGCTATGACAAAGGACGCACTATTTAAGCACTATGGTAAAATTCATCAATACACTCCAGAGATGATTCTTGAAATTAAGAAGAATCAGTTGAAGTTTGCTCCATTTAAATGTGTAGTACCTACCTGTACAAAAACATTTACAAGAAATTCTAACCTCCGGGCACACTGTCAGTTGGTACATCATTTTACAACAGAAGAAATGGTAAAGTTAAAAATAAAAAGACCTTATGGGAGAAAATCTCAGAGTGAAAATTTGTCAGCCCCACGAATAACACAAGTAAAAAGACAGTTAGCTGCGACAGAGGAAAATAAAAGGGAATTCCAGTCTGCTATGGAATTGGGAGCAATAAAGGAAAATGCCTTTAATAATATAGCAGTGATTCCAGAAAAACAACTTACAGAAAAAAAAAGCCCTGAAAAAACAGAAAATTCTTCACAGTTGATTACAGTAATTTCAGAACAATGTAATACAAATTCTCTCACAAACATACAAACCAAAGGACGGAAAATTAGGAGACATAAAAAAGAAAAGGAGGAGAGAAAACGCAAGACGCCAGTTTCCCAATCCCTTGAGTTTCCAACAAGATATAGTCCCTACAGACCTTATCGATGTGTTCATCAGGGCTGCTTTGCTGCCTTTACTATACAGCAAAACTTAATTCTGCATTACCAGGCTGTACACAAATCAGATCTACCTGCATTTTCTGCAGAGGTTGAAGAAGAAAGCGAAGCTGGTAAAGAAAGTGAAGAAATTGAAACTAAACAAACTGTGAAAGAATTTCGATGTCAAGTGAGTGACTGTTCTCGAATTTTCCAAGCAATTACTGGCCTAATACAGCACTATATGAAACTTCATGAAATGACTCCTGAGGAGATTGAAAGTATGACTGCTTCTGTGGATGTTGGGAAATTTCCATGTGACCAGTTAGAGTGTAAATCTTCATTTACCACATATTTGAACTATGTTGTTCACCTCGAGGCAGACCATGGTATCAGGATAAGGGGAAGTAAAACTGAAGAAGATGGTATATACAAGTGTGACTGTGAAGGCTGTGACCGTATATATGCAACTCGGTCTAATCTTCTTCGACACATTTTTAATAAGCATAATGACAAACATAAAGCTCATTTGATTCGGCCAAGAAGATTAACATCTGGTCAGGAAAATATATCAAGCAAAGCAAACCAAGAAAAGACAAAGTCTAAATATCGAGGGACAAAACACAGATCTGGAAAGGAAGGAACCAAAATGCCTAAGACCAAACGAAGGAAAAAAAATAATTTAGAAAACAAGAATGCGAAAATTGTACAGATTGAAGAAAATAAGCCTTATTCACTGAAACGTGGAAAACATGTATATTCTATAAAGGCTAGAAATGATGCTTTATCTGAATGTACAAGCAGATTTGTAACCCAGTATCCATGTATGATAAAGGGGTGTACATCAGTTGTTACAAGTGAAAGCAATATAATTAGACATTATAAATGCCATAAGTTATCTAAGGCATTTACTTCACAACACCGCAATCTTCTTATTGTCTTCAAACAGTGTTGCAACTCACAATTAAAGGAAACTTCTCAGCAAGAAGTTGATAAGAATGATGTGAAAGAATCTGATACCTGTGTATCAGAGAGTAATGATAACTCAAGAACAACTACAGTTCTACAAAAGGAAGTTGAAAAAGATGAAATGGATGAACTAACAGAATTATTTATTACAAAATTAATAAATGAAGACAACACAAGTGTGGAGACCCAAGCTCATACCTCTTCAAATGTAAGTAATGATTTTCAGGAAAATAACTCCTGCCAACCAGAAAAACAAAAAGCAGGTAATTTGAAGAGAGTTAATAAAGAGAAAAATGTCTCCCAAAATAAAAAGAGGAAAGTCGAAAAGGCTGAACCAGCACCAGCAGTTGAGTTAAGTAATATGCGTAAAGAAGAAGAAACTGCTGTTGCAATTCAAACCACTGAGGAGCATCCTGCATCTTTTGACTGGAGCTCATTTAAACCAATGGGATTTGAAGTGTCATTTCTGAAGTTTCTTGAGGAGTCTGCAGTGAAGCAGAAGAAAAATACTGACAAAGACCATTCAAATAGTGGAAATAAAAAAGGATCCCATTCAAATTCAAGAAAAAATATCGACAAGACTGCTGTGAATAGTGGAAATCATATATGTTCTTATAAAGAAAGTGAAACTTTTGTACAGTTTGCCAATCCATCACAGCTTCAGTGCAGTGGTAATGTAAAAATTGTTTTAGACAAGACTCTGAAAGATTGCACTGAACTTGTCTTGAAGCAACTTCAGGAAATGAAACCTACCGTCAGTCTGAAAAAACTTGAAGTACATTCAAATGATCCAGATGTGTCTGTTATGAAAGAAATCAGTATGGGTAAAGCCACAGGGAGAGGGCAGTACTGATAACTAATGTGCTATAAAGACGTCATTTGCAGTTTTATTTTAAATAGAAAGCCATCAAGCATGCTAGAATTGTGAAACTTTCATTATTTTTTGTTGTTGACATGAATTAATCTGGCCAAAAAAAAAAGAAAAGGAAAAAAAAAAAAAACATGACATTTGTCATGTAAAACTTTTTTTTATCCCTATGGGACTGGAAGAACAGAATCAAAACTTAAGTTATTGTAAATATTGAGCTAAACCTCAAATTTATATCAACCAATTGCCCTTTCATGAACTAAAATGAATTATCTGTGTGATTGATTTGTTTCACCAGGTCACTGCTCATGTATAACAGTACTCTCTGTTTGTAGATATCTTTTTTGTATATATTTATTACTGTAAATCATTTGCTGCCACCAGCAGTATGTAAGTCTAAACTATTAAATGACACATTTATATTTGGAATTTTAATTTTTAACTAAGTAATCAAGTTTTTAAAACTTCTTTTATTGTTTTAAATTAAGAATTTTTTAACTAAAACTAGAAACCCTGCCATAATTCATTGATTTTTACGTAAAGCATTTATTTACAAGATCTCAAAATTATTTTTCACAAAGTAGGCACATTATATCAACACCTTGCTCTGCTTTGTAAATTACCACCCAGGATTTTGGGATGGTATTTATGTGACATTAAAGCAGATTGTTTAGCAGTTTCCTATAGCTACAGCTTTCCCCACCCCCCTAATGCTCTTATTGGATATAGATAATATGATTCCATGAAATATGATGGAAATGTGAATAAAGAATTTACATCAAAGATTTTAAACATTTGGTTTAAAAAAAAAAATCCTTTGTGAATGTGCTAGAAACTAGTAGTGTGGAGCAGTGTAAATATTTGAGGTGGTGATTTGTGAAGTAGCCCAGTATTGCCTTAAATAAAATCACATTTCATTTTTTGTTTTTTACATGTGATCTTATAAAGGTTTTTTTCCATTTTCTGAGATTTATAGATTGGTGTATAGCTTTAAACTGTAAAAACTTTTGTGGAAAAATTTTTTTAAACATTTTTATAAATCTTAATATTGGTATCATCAAAGTGAGCCCATCTTGTGTTTATAAAATGCAAGAGTCCTTTGAAACACTTTCTATAAGGAAGTTGGATGTTTTGATTTTCCTGTTTATAGATGTTAGATTGTACAGATTTGTCTGTATTTGCCCACCATTTCTAATGATACTTTTTTCATTAGATTGGTCTTCCAGAGCAGTATTAGTTGTTGTTATTATTTTGGTTATTCAGTATATAGTTAGCTCTTATAGTTTAGCTTTGTTTACCATATTTATACTGTGGATTCACAGCTAGAGATAGAAGTTAATTTCAGGAGAGTTTAGTTGAAGTCCCAACTAAATCAGCACTGGAAACAAAAGAAAACATCCTTTCAAATTGACTTTTGTTTCTGTTTGCCATAAATAGTGGCATTGATTTTTGACTTTGTGTTTGTTATAAACCAGTTGCATTCACAATATTATTAGCCTGAGATATTGATGAGTTTGTGATGATATGAAAATGTGTATATTCCCTGTGCAACATCAGATTTGCAGGAAAAATGAAGCACTTAATATTAACTGAAATTGCTGGTACTCTGAATAAATGAGCAAGTATTACAGTTTTTATTTTTAGGGCCTAATGGGTTATATTGAATAGTTGGTTTCACCTCCTTAAGGTTTATTACCAATATGCATAAAACTTGACACATTAAAATCCCTACCCCTTGGTAAGTTCACTGTTATTTATTAAAATAAAAGTTCTTATGGGTGATTAATACATGTTTTTTTCTAAATTAACAATAACTTAACTTTGAGCAATTTTAATATTAAATTTTTGTTAACAACTTATGTTTTCGTACACTTTTCTTCGAAGTTGATCTAGCTCTTAAAGATAGACATTTGGCAAAACTGCCCTATATTGTACAGAGACAAGTAGGTTTATTTCTGATCAATTTAGTGATAAGCCACTGTTAAGTGAAAATGCCAATGTATTGGGGCTTTTCTTTTGCTCCTTAACATTGACCACTAGACATTTCTGTAATGGTTCTCCCATATGTTAGGGGAAAGAGTTTGCCAACATTAAGTTACATTTTTTTATATTCCAGATTCTGTATGCTAAAAGTTATATGGAAGAGTGGGCTTTTTAGCATGGAACAGAAATAAATTATGGTATAAAATAAATACGAATTTATAGAATAGCATGTTGGTAAAATTTGATATGGAATGTAATGCCTAAGTATTAAAAAAAGAATCATAAAGTATATATATTTTTCATGGTATACTTTTCCTCAGTCATTTGTCTTGAGATACGTTTTTCCTACAGCCTAAATTTGCCTGAAATTTCATCGCTATAAATTGGGTTTTTTCCTCTTTTAAACCCAAAGAATTTGAATCTTACAGATCAGAACATGTTATTTATTCAAAATACATTGTTGTTTTAAGTGAAATATAACAGTTTGGGAAATTTTCAGCATTGTTAAATTGGCATAGTTAAATTATTTTAAAGGGCTAGACAGAGTTTTAACAAGGCCAGTTTTGATTATTAGGCTAGCAAATACAGTTGCTATAGCTATTAAGGTAAAAGTACATAAATATTACAGCTAGGGACATCAAAGAAGGAATGCTCTTGCTTTGGGGGGAGAGGGTTGGCAGTTATGAAAGTCTTATAGAAAAGGTGAGTCTTGAAAGATGACTGAGTAGACATCTGATGGTCAGAGGGGAAAAAGGAATTCTAGGCGTGGAGATAGGAAGGGGCACAGTGCATTTGCAGTATTGCAAGTGTTCCATGTGGAAAGGAACTTGGAGAAGCTGAAGAGGCAGATGGGCCACATGAAGGTTCATGTATGCCATATTAGTCTTTATCTTGTGTGTTTTTTTAAGTGGTTACTTAATGCATTTAAATTGAACAATTTGATTAGGTACCAATTTAGAAAGATAGTTGGCACTATAGAGAGAATATATTGGGTAAGTTGGAGATTAAAAGCAGGGAAGTATGCCCTGGCCAGTGTGGCACAGTGGTTAGAGCATCGGCCCATGTACCAAAGGATCGAGGGTTTGGCTGCCAGTCAAGGGCGCATACCTGGGTTGCAGGTTCATTCCCTGTCCCCAATCGAAGTGCATGCAGGAGGCAACCAATTGATGTGTCTGTCTGACATCAATTCCTTTCTCTTCCCACTCTCTGAAAATCAGTGGGGGGGAAACAAATCCTCTGGTGAGGATTAACAACAACAAAGCAAAAAAGCAGGGAGGCTTGAAATAATCCAGGCAAAAGATGGGGACCTGATGAAGGAATTTTAATGGAGTTGAGAAAGAAAGAAATGGATATGAGTGGTATTAAAACGTAGAGCAGTATGGAAGCCTTTTTCAAAATTATTGTAGTGAGACACTAAGAGGATTGGAAAGTGAGGTTTATGTCAAAGATTTTTAATATTTAGGTATATACCACTAAATTAGTGTTCTAAGGCACACACTGGGGAAATAATCTAAAATGGCATTTATTCAGCCAGGACTCATAATCAGCAGGTGTGTGCCAGTGTGGCTGCATTAGCTGTTTACAAATGACTGGTCAACTTATCCATTCCAATTGATTGAATGTGTTGGGTAATGTTTTGAGTATCATCCTGCATTAAATAATTACTGAATGCCAACTAAGTGCACTTTGATTAAAATCTAAATCTCCTTACTCAAAGTCCCTGCCAATCTCTCTAAACACCTACTTTCCATTTCCCTTATGTTCTGTCTCTCTGAATACACACTAAGCTTCTTCCCCCTTGTATTGTCTTATCTGTCTGGAATGCTTATTTCTGTATTCATATGGCTCACTCCTTATCCATCAATTCTCAGCTTAAATGTCACCTCATTAAAGAGACATCCAGATCACTCTTTAATCAAGTTTCACACTCCCATTCTCTATAAATGCTTTTAAGTTTTTACATTGTTTATTATCTGTGCCTCATGACACTACCATTCAAGGAACAAAATGATTTATTTTCCAATTTCCTTGCTCAGTCAAGGTGCCTCTCATTTCGATATGCTTCCCATAAATGGGAACTCTATACCATGTTATATTCAAAACCTCTTCCAAATCTTGGATTCAAGATTCCCTTTCTTCAACCACAAATTTTTTCCAGCTCACCTGGGGTTACTTCCACTAAAAAATATCACAACTAATCAATCCTACCACTAGCACTTGCTTACTATTGGTCAGCTCACTCATGTCCTCAGCTTTTTCAGCTTAGAGACTAGATCCCACTGTTAAACATACTCCTTTGCAAATATCCTAAGACCATGCTGCTCTCTGTCATGATCTAGAAAAAATCTCAAAACCTGTCTACTCTTAAGCAGTTGAGTGAGAATGATTACACCAGGCAGGTTTATCTAAAAACTGCCTGACAATTTTTCTGCAGTTTTGTTGTAACTAACTTTAACAAACAAGTGATTTATATATTCTTTCACTCAATATTCCTACTCCATCTGAATATCTTTTTTTTTAAGTTACCTTTATTGTTGAACGTATTGCAGATGTTCCCCCTTATCCCCCCGTTGACCTTTTCTGCCCCACACATGCCCCCCCACCCTAGGCCTTCACCACTCTTGTCTATGTCTGTGGGCTATACATATATGCATATAAGTTCTTTGGTTAATCTCTTCCCACCCACCCACTTTGCTGAGAAAATATAAAAATTTTACAGTAACTTTCTCAACTTTTCCACCACCAAGTTTATATACTCATCTATATCTGCACCCTCTTACTTACTAAAAACCAACCCCTACCCAATTAGTATGGATTCCATCCCCCCTCACCTTCTCAAAAGCTTTTCATTAACTACTCATGTTTTATCAACCTTCCTTTACTAGATCCATTCTAACATAAATATACCCTAGTAGCTACTATTCTTGAAAGAAGGGGCTGCCATTTATTTGTTCCCCATCATAACTAAGTTGCCTACTCAAACACCCCATGTCTTCACTTCTGATTTACTACCACTATATATGCGCCCACAACTCCTGAAATTGCTCTCATAAGGATCACTAGCCTCGTCCATGGTGCTGTATCTGTTGGTTCTTTTTCTGCCCTCATTCTCTGCCTGGGGAGCATTCCTAGGGTTGATTACTTCCTCTTTGAAGTACTCTCTTAGTATTCTTGACATTTTCTCTCGGTTTTCTCCTTACTCTTTCTGGCTGCTTCATCACTGACTCTAACCCTAGTTCCTCTACCAGTACCTTACCTTTGGCTCATTGTGTAGGCCTGTGTACTCCTTGGATGATTTAGTCTGTTCTGTGGAGTTTCGTATTACCAATATGGCTGCCACCCAAATTTATACTTCTAATACCAAACTACTTAGTTCAGGCTTGTACTTAGATATCTCATAGTTAAGCAAACCACATCCAAGTCCTTATTTTGTTCCCACCCCACCTTCATTCTGTTTCTCAGTATTCTTTATCTGGATAAGTAAAATCACTACCTAAGTTTCTCAAGCTACGTTCTTTAATGTGTCGTCATGCACTTTCCCCATGTTGGTCACAATTACAGTTATTTCTACCTCCTAAGTAAAAGGAGCCCTCTCACTTCTTATCTCATCTGAATCACTGTTATTTCTTGCCTAGACCACTGTAACATTCTTCTTATGGGCTTTATTCCAGAATAGTCCTCACCAGACAGCTAGTTTGTTTCTTTTTAAGTAATATTTTTGGGTAAGGGGCAGGTTTGGGGAACTTGCTGTCTTCACACTGCCCTTTATGAATAAAATATGGTTTGATTGTTTTTACTATGACTCCTGCCTCTCTCTCTAAGCACATTGTGTTCTAGCCACATTGGTTTCTTTTGACTTTCTCAGACCAGACCAGCTCTTCTGCTTCTCGAGGCCCTTGCACTAGGCGTTCTGCTTGGAAGGCTCTTTCCTTACTCATTCGTCAGGTCTTGGACCTCTGGCCCCACAACCAGTTCCTCCATTCCAACACTCACTTGACTTACAATGTTTATCACAAGTTATAACTGCTTTTTTTTTTTACCCTTCCCCCCCAAAATCCATTGAACTATGTAGGCTGCACAAGGGCAGAATCCTTTTGGGTTAGGTCACCTACCATTCTATGCTAAGTACCTAGTCCGGTACCTTGAATATAGTAATTTTTTTGCAGTAGTAAAAATTTATTGAATGTGTAAATGGGAGGTGAAGTGAACATGATTCTGACTTATGGAGCTCAGAGTCTACACAATCACTATAAGGGTGTTATAAGAGTTTATAATAGGGTGAGCATGTGGTGCTATGTAGTCTGTGGTAAGGGAGAGCAATTAATTACTTCCCTAGAGAGGGAGAGGTTGGGGAAGGAAGGCAGAGAAAACTCTAGGCAAGGTAAGCTCTGATAGGAATAGCTTTTGAGGAAATGGCTAAAAACTGGTTAAGAACCTTTAGAGTGAACGAGGAAAGGTAAGCAAGGGCCTGATCACACAGTATCTTAGACCTAATGGTATCGGACTTCATCCTAAGCGCAGTGAGTTTACATTTGGGTTGTAAGCAAAAGTGAGATTCTTAACATTTGCAGTTTAAAAGTTCACTGTGGTGAGGGGGCATTCCCGTGGGAAATGGAAAAACAGTTAAGGCTGTCCAAGTCCACCAGGGAAGAGTGGATACTGTCTTGGTGTAGAGTGATGGCTGAGGGAGAAAAGTGGACAGACTGAAGAGATCTAGAATATTTGGCAAGACTTGGTCATTACGGATTTATGGGGAATGAAGGAGAGGGGGAAAGTCCAGAAATTTTCCAGATTTTTGG